TTTTTTTGTCGCGAACAAATCAAGTCGCACGAGTTGAATCGAAATCTAGATCACGTTTCGAATCATATATCCCAGCGATTGATGGTGAGAACGTTAGCAGTTTGGTTAGCAATTTCAACGATTGCATTCTGACGCTAATATCGAACGAGGATCGATAAAAGTTCAACTTCACACACTTTTATTAACTCCAATTTTCTGCGACGATATTACGACTCATGAGCGACGTGTAGCTCTTCGCCTATACCCTGAAGGCAATAAATCTAGAACGTAAATACAATTTAAGGGGTCATTAAAAGGTTCGTTTCGTCCAGCAAAACGACGAAGAACGTAAATAGCTCAAAAAATGAACTCTTTGCCTAAGCAAAAGCTAAACTAAGTGAGACTCTAGTGGAAATTGTAAATTATACGAAACGATTAAATTATATATATATAATATAATTTGTAATAATTTTATAATAATTATATAATAATTCTGTGCTTCTCTCTTATCTTTTTAAAATACTAAGTTTCAATTAATTTAAAGATCAAAGTTACAATAATTACAATATCCTTGTTCCTCAGAAAAACGACAGCAGAAATTTATCGCGTCTAGAACGTAAATGGTGGAGATGCGTGTACACATATAAATATCTTTTTCAATAAAGGATCTGATTTTTACGATTTCATTTCGTTTCGGCGTAAAAAACTTTTTATTAACTGTATTTGAAAAAATATGATACAACTGCGATTGCCCTGCCGCAATAGAGCGATAAAGTATCATGTAACATCGTCGGTAACAGATAAACAATATAAAATCTGAACAGAATGAAGTAACTAACATTTTCAACCAAGTGAATTCTAGAAGTGTGCGAGAATCCGAAATATCAGGTCGGGTCGGGAACACGAAATTTCTTCGGGATCGGGACGGGTACCCAAAAATTTCGAGATTCTCGAATTTATCGGGATTCAACAAGAATAAATAATTCGTTAAAGCCCACGCCTTCAACTATATCAAAAAATCGCAGATCTAGAACCATCATTCGAGCAATTCCTTCTGTTATATCTTTTGGTTTAACAATCTTTCGCGTATCATATATCCATTCAATTATTTTCCTAGTACATATACTTATGTTTGGATGCGTATGCTTCAAATGGTGTAATAAACCAGTAGTATTTGCATACCTAGTTTTAAATTCATAGTGACAATGCGTCCATTCCTATCTTTATATCGTCTTTTTCTTGAAAATGTTCCCAAACCTTTACCTTCCATTGCACGATATCTTCTGCACTGCTTCCTGCTACCACAACTTTACTCTCACTATCACTCGACATCTTTCTTTAAAGATTTTTAATCTTTATTAAATTCACACAGATTTTGAAATATACGTCTGAACTTCCCGCCTTTTTCAGCGATACTGCTCAACAGCGTACATAATGCCCAAGTACTAAGTCACGCAGTCACACGTTCGTTTATAACAGGTCACACGATTTTTTAGAACCTGTGTTTTCAATAACTTCACTGGCAGAAGAAATTGAACTGTGTATTTACATGCATATTTTGTAGACTGCTATACAGCATTGTAGAGTAGTTCGAGAAATGATAGCCGGGTTCTCGAAATTTTCGGGAATCTCGATTTTTTTCGGGAAACCCGATTCCTTCGGGAATCTCGAAATTTTCGGGAATCCGACCCGACCCGACCATCGGGTTTCCGATATTTTCGGGTTCTCGCACACCCCTAGTGAATTCGTTGTATAAATTTGAAATTCAAATTTACCGACTGGATAATACCGACACCAGAACTACCAAAGTTGTTGAAATGACCAATTTATAATTTTAGTTAGATATTTTACAGACAATGTGAAATAGTATATTTGAAGATTTAAATAATTTTTCGTAAAATATATAAATAAAATAAAAGCTTGCACTAATCCATTATTGTATCATAAAGTTTCTCTACTTTCTGAACTTCAATGTATCTGATGAAAATTTTATGCTTTAATCGTTGGTAGTTATTAACAGCTCTTTGATTCGATGGAAACGATAAAACGAATCGTTATTCATAATAGGCCGTTGAAGAGGAACGTGGTCGAGAATTAATCCTTTTCGAAATTGACAAGAAAAATCTCGTTGCGTCGGTGTAAACGAAGTTTTCGCGCGAACTTCACTTCTTTTACTGAACGCCTCTCGCAAATGAAAATGAAAAAGAAAAAAAACAGAAAAAAGAAAAAAGGTCGTTATAATTTACAAAGTGAACTCTCTCACCTTTGTAACTTTTTAGAAAGAGAATTAAAAAGTTGCGCGCACAGCTGAACTATGGAGAACTGTTTTTTAATCCTTCCACCTTGAAACTTTGTGGGTATTTGACTTGATAATAATTCCACTATCTGAATGAATAATCTGATAAAATCTTTTCTTCATTTGATCAGATCTGACCATTTCTCTCTTTCTCTCTTTTTTAAATTTCTAATTTAGCGACTTTGCCGAGTTTCAGCTATAATTTTTTTTTAATATGACTTTTTTTTAAAAATTGTTTCTATACAACTTCTTCAACCTTTCCCAGATTGATAGTGATAAGATGAAATCAAAGAAACGATGGCGAAATAGTCAAAATTGGGAAAAAGGCAGTTAGTTAGAAATTTACCGATTATTTTTATAAAATGAAAGAAAAATGTTAGAATTATAAATGACTGAAGTATTATGCTTGTACCAAAAAAGAAAAAAATCTAAAATTAATATGGATGACACTGGTGTCGATCGATATCACATTTTGACTCTTAAATCCTGAAAATAATGAATCTCGATTCCTAGTTGCGAACCTCGAGATCTTCCAAATATTAGACTGTATAGCTCTAATTCTTGCTTTCTGATTCCTGGATCCCGATTCATAAATTCTCGGACAGGGGACTGTAATTTTTAATTTTCGATTTTTGAATCCTAAATTGTGAGTAGCGAATCACGAATCCTGCAAATCGCGAAATTCTCGAATAGTGGACTGTATTTTTAATTTTTGATGTTTGAGTTCCGAGTAATGAGAGTCTTTCTCTCCTCTGGTACGGATTGCCTCCGGATTTCTTCACGATAGCTCTCGATCGTGTCTCCCGTTCCTCGAGGACACCAATCAAAACAGTCCCGCGGGTCAGCGACCGAGGTTGACAAGAACGAAACGCTTCCCTGC